GAATTGTTTTAGCTGGTATATGATATTTATATACTGTCTTGTCACTTTAGAATGCCCCAAATAGTTTCCCACTGTGGGGGCGGGGGGGGGGACAGCTAGGTTTTCCTTGCCATCATTCTTCTTAGCAAACAATATATTCTATCATACACTCAGCATTTCTCAGCAATTATACACTTAGCATTTCTCAACATGGCTCCAGTTTATAAAACTAAGAATACAGAATTTCTGCTCCTCCCCTACAAAAGCAGATTATGAAGAAACATCAGATAAACTGAGCTTCCACCAAAAAAACTGGTTATCTTCAATAAGTCATACTACAAAATGCAAAGAAAGGCTGAGGAACTGCTCAATACTGAAAAAATTAGAGTCATGCCAGTAGATGATCCTGGATCAAATCCTGTACCTGGAGAGAACATTCTGAAATAATCCCCCAAATCTGAACAAGGTCTGTGGAGTAGACAGTTGTATCAGATCTATGCTGATTTCCTGATTTTGATGGTATGTGTTGTGGTTATGTAAGAGGGTAATTCTCAAAAAACAGTGTTCACCACAACCAGTACACCATCAACAGTTCCTGGTTCTGTGGCTCATGGAGATTAGAATAATGGGCAACTTGAATAAAAATCTGAGATTTCAATCACCTGGCAGCAGTCCACTGTGAAAGCACTGACAACACAGGGTAATGTGTTGACACTGAAAATCAGAATGCACAGAGCACAGTGAAAAGAATGCCAGGAAGTGCAGTAAAGGGACAAAAAGTCCAAGGGAGGACGCACAAGCATCCAGGCATGGAATAAAGTAACTCTAGAAGGCAATCGTTCTGTCTGGCTTTGGGTCTGGGGAGTTACCAAGGATAACACATAGAAGAGGCCTAAGGGGAACAGCTAGGCTCAAACCTACTGATTTTCTCTTATTTGCTACCAAGAGACCAGGGCTGTGATGTTATTTTCATTACAAAGTGTTAGTATTATTCAGCAATAAAAAAGAACAAAATACTTAACCATGCTACAACAAAGACAAAACATCACGGTAAATGAAAGAAGCCAGCACAAAATGACTGGTATTTTACTACACCATTCATATAAACTGTCCTGAAAAGGGTATACTGTAAAGACAGAAAATAGGTAAGTAGTGGCTCGCAACTGGGGGTGGGAATGATAATTAACTATAAACTGCAATATGCCACAATCTTCTCACCTAATATATCGTGAAAATTATAGTAACTCATAAAGGTCCTTTGAGGATCAAATGAGGTAAGTTTAAAGCTTAGAACAATCTCTGGCACTCAGTAAGGGCTCAAGATGTTCACACACACATAGATGTTAACCTTAAAATAAGTAAACATGGAAATAAATTACAACATTCATGTAATAAATTATAAACACAGAAAAGATTCAAAAACAACTATTTTTTTTTGCATAAAAACCCTATGCTGAAAATGGACTTCCATTTTACATTTTCACTCTAGTGATTTTTTATTATAAAGATTAGAGGCTGGGCGTGGTGGCTCATGCTTGTAATCCAAGCACTTTGGGAGGCCAAGGCAGGTGGATCACCTGAGGTCAGGAGTTCGAGACCAGCCTGGCCAACATGGCGAAACCCGACTCTTCTAAAAATACAAAAATTTGAAGTCAGGTATGATGCCTCCAGCTTTGTTTTGTTTTGTTTTGCTTTGCTTTGTTTAGTTTTGCTTTGCTTTGCTTTGTTTAGGATTGTCTTGGCTATGCAGGCTCTTTTTTGGTTCCATATTAAGTTTCTGGTGGTTTTTTCCAGTTCTGTGAAGAAAGTCAATGGTAGCTTGATGAGGATAGCATTGAATCTATACGTTACTTTGGGCAATTTGGCCATTTTCACAACATTGCTTCTTCCTAACCATAAGCATGGAATGTTTTTTCATGTTTGTATCCTCTCTTATTTCCTTGAGCCGTGGTTTGTAGTTCTCCTTGAAGAGGTCCTTCACATCCCGTCAGTTTTATTCCTATGTATTTTATTCTCTTTGTAGCAATTGTGAATGGGAGTTCCCTCCTGATTTGGCTGTTCGTTATTGGTGTATAGGAACGCCTTTGATTTGTGCACATTGATTTTGTATCCTGACGCTTTGCTGAAGTTGCTTATCAGCTTAAGGAGATTTTGGGCTGAGACGATGAGGTCTTCTAAATATACATTTTCATTCATGTCATCTGCAAATACAGAGTTTGACTTCCTCTTTTCCTAATTGAATATCCTTTATTTCTTTTTCTTGCCTGACTGCCCAGGCCACAACTTTCGATACTATGTTGAATAGGAGTGGTGAGATAGGGCATCCTTGTCTTGTGCCAGTTTTCAAAGAGAATGCTTCCAGTTTTTGCCCATTCAGTATGATATTGGCTGTGGGTTTGTCATAAATAGCTCTTACTATTTTGAGATATGTTCCATTGATACCTAGTTTATTGAGTTTAGCATAAAGGACTGTTGAATTTTGTTGAAGGCCTTCTCTGCCTCTATTGAGATAATCATGTGATTTTTGTCTTTAGTTCTGTTTATGTAATGGATTACGTTTATAGATTTGTGTATGTTGAACCAGCCTTGCATTCCAGGGATGAAGCTGACTTGATCGTGATAGATGAGCTTTTCGACGAGTTGTTGGATTTGGTTTGCCAGTATTTTATTGAGGTTTTTCATGGCTACAATAATCAAAACAGCATGTTACTGGTACCAAAACAGAGATATAGACCAATGGAACAGAACAGAGGCCTCAGAAATAACACCACACATTTGCAACCATCTGATCTTGGATAAACCTGACAAAAACAAGCAATAAGGAAAGGATTCCCTGTTTAATAAATGGTGTTGGGAAAACTGCCTAGCCATATGCAGAAAGCTGAAACTGGATCCCCTCTTTACACCTTATACAAAAATTAACTCCAGATGGTTTGAAGATTTAAACATAAGACCAACACCTTAAAAACCCTAGGAGGAAGCCTAGGCCATACCATTCAGGACATAGGCATAGGTAAGGACTTCATGACTAAAACACCAAAAGCAATGGCCACAAAGCCACAATAGACAAATGGAATCTAATTAAACTCAAGAGCTTCTGCACAGCAAAAGAAACTATCATTAGAGTGAATCAGCAACCAACAGAATGCGAAAAAAATTTTGCAATCTACCCATCTGACTAACAGCTAATATCCAGAATCTACAAAGAACTTAAACCAATTTATGAGGAAAAAAAATCAAAAAGTGGGCAAAGGATATGAACAGACACTACATTTATGCAGCAAACAAACATATGAAAAGAAGCTCCTCATCACTGGTCATTAGAGAAACGCAAATCCAAACCACATTGAGATACCATCTCATGCCAGTTAGAACAGTGATCATTAAAAAATCAGGAGACAACAGATGCTGGAGAGGATGTGGAAAAATAGGGATGCTTTTACACTGTTGGTGGGAATGTAAACTAGTTCAACTATTGTGGAAGACAGTGTGGCAATTCCTCAAGGATCTAGAAATAGAAATACCATTTGACCCAGCAATCTCATTACTGGGTATATACCCAAAGGATTATAAATCATTCTATTATAAAGACACATGCACACATACGTTTACTGCAGCACTGTTCACAATAGCTGAGACTTGGAACCAACCCAAATGCCCATCAATGATAGACTGGATAAAGAAAAGGTGGCACATACATACCATGGAATACTATGCAGCGCAGCCATAAAAAAGGATGAGTTCATGTCCTTTGCAGGGACATGGATGAAGCTGGAATCCATCATTTCAGCAAACTGACACAAGAACAGAAAACCAAACACTGCTTATTCTCACTCATAAGTGGGTGTTGAACAATGAGAACATATGGACACAGCGAGGGCAACATCACACACCAGGGCCTGTAGTGGGGTGGACTAGAGCAGGGATAGCAGGGGGTGGGCAGATTGGGGAGGGATAGTATTAGGAGAAATACTTAATGTAGATGACAGGAGGATGGATGCAGCAAACTACCATGGCACGTGTATACCTATGTAACAAATCTGCGTGTTCTACACATGTACCCCAGAACTAAACTATAATTTAAAAAATTACAAAAATAAAAATACAAAAATTAGCTGGGTGTGGTGGCACATGCCTATAATCCCAGCTACTCAGGAAGCTGGGGCAGAAGAATCACTTATATCTGGAAGGAAGAGGTTGCAGTGAGCTGAGATTGCATCACTGCACTGCAGCTTGGATGACGGAGACTCTTTCTCAAGAAAAAAAAATTAGGATGTTGTTCATCCTGACAATAACATCCAGGCCAACAAACTCTGGAAGTCAATACTACTGGGGCCAAAGGCACCTACCTCACTGACACATGCACTTTCCCATGTTTTCTTGTCTTTTATAACACATGCTGTGGTAGTAAAGGCTCCCAAGTTCTACCTTCCCAGTAGGTGTCAAACATGAACTCAATCTTGTTCTTGTTCATGGGGCTTTTTTTCTTTTTTTTTTATTGAGATGAAGTCTCGCTCTGTCTCCCAGGCTGGAACACAGTGGCATGATCTCAGCTCACTGCAACCTCCACCTCCTGGGTTCAAGTGATTCTCCTGCCTCAGCCTCCAGAGTAGCTGGGACTACAGGCACGTGCCACCACACCAGGCTAATTTTTTGTATTTGTAGTACAGATGGAGTTTTGCTGTGTTAACCAGGATGGTCTCGATCTCCTGACCTCGTGATCCACCTACCTCGGACTCCCAAAGTGCTGGGATTACAGGCATGAGCCACTGAGCCCCACCACGAGCCCTTTCAATACAGGTACACAAAGTGAAAAGCTGCTAATTCACCACTCCACCAGAGGAATAAATAGTTTAATTTTGATCCCTTGAAATAACTACTGCATGGAATATAATCTGTATATCTTTGGTTAAACTATTTTCTCACTGACATCAACATTTACATTCTCTCATTTATTATCGCTCAGGCCATTATTCTCTTATTCTTCAAGTATTCCCAGAAAAGTTTCTAACATGAAAAAAGAACAGAGACAAATTTCAAGGTTTAATAAATTTTATCTTGATAACATCAAAAACAAGTTTAGCTGTTACATTGCAATATAAAAAATACATTAGTCTTCACATTAGTTTTACATGGAAATATATAATTATTTGAATATTTAAATATAGCTTTTCTTTAACCAAAAAAAAAGTATTACTCAGAGCCCTAGTTACATAAATAATTTAAATGCACAAATGCAAAAACACACTTCACACAATATTGTCCACATACTGTAGAACTCAGGACAATTACAATAAAAATCTATGCAAGATACTGAACAAGAACAAGATTAATAAAATACTCATTATGGTTGTAATTTGACTTTTTACTATTAAAAGAATTTAATGCATTCTTGAATACACAAAAACATCAATTGTTTTATCTAATCTGCGAATTAAGCCAACATTTATTTAGACAAAGGGGCACATCTTGTATCCTACCAAATTCTGAAAGTAATTCATTTCTTTAACTTAAATTATAAGTTTTACAATTTCAAGCTTGTCTAAAATAATCATGATTACAAGAACTTAGTAAGCATTTGAAAAAATTTGAACAAAATCATCAGTACTGCACTGTACTTTTATGTTTGGTAATATAAATTTTAAATATAAGCCTTCTCCCTGCCCCCACTGAAAATGGTACTTAGAAGGGCTTCCAATGTGAAAATGGTAACATTTTTATAACTTGAAATTTTGATTATTTGAATTATAAGAGCTGTTCTCTCTGCATGATGTAATTACAACAGCTATGACATATCATATGTACTATTTCCATTTGAGCTCTTGCTTTTAAACTTACACTGAAAGAATGAAGAATGTCTATTAATGATATTTAAGGGAACTATGTGTCTATTCCATAGGGGAAAAAGACACCAATACCCACAAGTAGAGTTTTTTATGTATCAGCTGTTTTTTGTTTCCTAGTCAATAGGACAAAGCTCTGTTCCTAAATTAAAATTGGAGGATTATTTTGAAATAGTGGCTCACAGTGATCTTTTAAAAGTGAAAATATATTTGTATATGAGGAGGCAAGGTTGAAGGAAATGTGATATATGCTGCTTTGCAACTAAAAACACAAACATTTGTCTTTTTTTTTTAAACATAATTACTATTTAAATTTAGAAGTACAGAAATCACAACGGAACTCCATCATAGTATACACAGATTAAATAATGGCCCCTGAAATAAAACCACATTTAGAAACAAACTGTTATACTACACTTCATTATTTCTAAGGTAACACATTTTAAATCCTGAAATCAAGATAATGGTTTAACATTGACCTTAGTTTCAATAAAATATGGCAGTCATACAATATAGCTGGAATTCATGTTTCCCCTTAACATTAACGATAGAAGATCCAGGATCTTGGCTCAACATGAATGAATGACAACTCAATGCCTCTGTACCAACTCAAACAGTCCACCTGACTAAAGATTCTGGATATATTCTGACTATCCCAGACTCAAACTGCATCTCATTAACATCTTTTATTTGAACTGTTAAAAATCTGTTAACAAGCTTAGGACAAACTAATGTATAAATACAGGTTTCCACTTGGAAAATGGGCCTCCACAGAGGTTACCAGTTTTATTCAATTTTTTGAAATATTAAGTAATTTTCTAATGAGAATTAATGGCCTGCCCAAATATTACCAAGCCAATAATTTCAGTTCAAGCTATTAAAAAATGATATGGTGATGTCTAAACCATTTTAAGAGATAAGGCCACAAAGTAACCTGGATTTTCATATTAAACCACCAACTCTTCATGTGGAGGGGGGAGTAAAGGTGGTTAAACAAAGAGCGGGAGGGGGAATGCCTAAACACACGGGTGAAATTATTTTCCCCATTAAGATCTAAAAGGCTAATCCAAAAAACCTACAGAGACTGTATGTGTGCATGTGTCCAAATGATAAAGTAGAGACTTACAGATCAAATTTTTTAAATTTGTTCTTACTTTTTTTGAGACGAAGTTTCACTCTTGTTGCCCAGGCTGGAGTGCAACGGAGCCATCTCAGCTCACCGTAACCTCCGCCTCCCAGATTCAAGCGATTCTCCTGCCTCAGCCTTCCAAGTAGCTGGGATTACAGGCATGCCCCACCACGTCTTGCTAGTTTTTTGTATTTTTAGTAGAGACAGGGTTTCTCCATGTCAGTCAGGATGATCTTGAACTCCTGACCTCAGGTAATCTGCCCACCTTGGCCTCCCAAAGTGCTGGGATTACAGGCATGAGCCACTGTGTCTGGCCTTGCAGATCCAATTTAAATGAAGCAGGAGTTCATGTTATGCATAAAAAAATCACCAGGCCATTTTTTAAAAACTGTATTAAAGATTATGGAATCTCATTTTCTGGAATGCTTTAAAAAAGATAAATTATATTTTGTTTGTGTTCATTTAAGTCAACCCCACTCAAAAGCTGACATAATTCATTATAGTTCCTTCTTTATAATTGTCCAATTAGAATACTATATTGACAATGCCACTCTAAAACACAAAGAATATAGGCACGTATGCGTTTGTTCTGATTTTTAAAAAGTAATAATATAGCATTAATTAAATTTGCTATATTTATTCTAACAATATTAAATTTGCTGGCATGAGAGAGATAATCATAAAAAAATAAGTGGGATATGATTTGAGGGACAAAATTCTACATACTCTACTAAATTATTTTGTGACATAAATTAAGATGAAGGTCTTCTACAGAAAATGTTGAACAAAATGTAAGGTTCATTTTGAATCTTAAAATGAAAGGACTCTAAACACTAATTTTAAATGAATATAAAAATTCTGAAAAATAATATTTATAGCAAAATAGTTCAAGTTTAGTTTTCTCACCAAAGTTGGGAAAGCTGTGTGCACAAAGTACCAAATATATTTCAATTAAAGTACTGAACCCTCAACTGGCTTGAACACAAATAAAACTTCTATTTTACCTCATTACCTCTCAATTTGTTTGCTAGCCGAGTCATCATTCTTTCACAAGGTTGTGAACAAGATGAACTTCTCAGATTATATGCTCTCACGGGTCCAGAAGAAGTTTTCTTTTGGCTCTGGCATTTTTCACTCCTCTTCTCCTCCTCCCTTTTCGCAATGCGGCTAGAAAAACGCACAGGTCGAGAAGAACGCGCAGGTCGAGAAGAACACGCAGGTCTAGAAGAAGGTGCAGGTCTAGAAGAAAGCGCAGGTATAGAAGGTGGCGCAGGTCTAGAAGGCGGCGCAGGTCTAGAAGAACATGCACGTCTAGAAGAATGCACAGGTAGCTTCGGAGGAGGATTTGCGATAGCGCCTGACAGTTCTTCAGCACCAGCTGGTGGAACTGAGGAGTGTGAAAGCACGTTAGCTGTTCTCTTTGCCTTCTTTAGCCTACTGATAACAGTTTCCTTCTTTGGATACATTCCAAAAAAAGCATACCTAGACTGACATCTATGATATAAAAAGGCTGAGTATTTTGACATATACTTTCTAATTACCTCACTTGGTTTGGTCCAAATTGAAGGTGATTGTTTCTCTGAAGCTTTTCTGGTTTTTTTCTGAGAAATAATTGGTTTACTAACCTTTTTGGGAAAACCTAGCTTTCTACCACTAGCTGTCACCTTCTTTTCATGAATTTTCTTTTTACTTTTACTTCCCAAAAATTTAGTTCTAACTGATTCTGGATAATTTAAATGATTTTTTACAACATCATGATTTAAAAATGTTAGCTGGAAATTACTTTTCTTTGGAACCTCACGAACCTGCAGAACCTTTGATTCTTCCAGAAACAGAGAAGAGTCACTGGTTCTCTGATGTGAATTAAATCCATATCTTGCTGGCGCTGCCATTAAAGGCACTGAAGCAGAGCTTTGTCCATCAGCATCATTATCTCCTGCGCTGGAGTTTAGGTTGCTCCTATTAAAATGAATTTTAACCCAGTTATGCCTCTCAACCTCGGGTACTACTACATTCAGGGGAGGTACTACTACATTAACTACAATGTGCTTAATCAAGGGCTCAAAATAATCAAAGATATTCCGTTTATATTTGCATATAAACTGAATATCATTATCCCAACTATGATGCCTCATTTTAGGGAACTGGGGGCCTTCACCCTCCTTCAGTTTAATATTTAAAGAAGAAAGAACACAAACTAAGGCTTTGGGTTGCATAGGCTTCAAAACTTTAGTACACGATGCAGGAAACTCAACTTTTGTCCCAATTTTGACATTCTTTTTGGTTTTTCTGTCATCCTGTAAACGTGAACACTTACTTTTTGGTGGGTCTTCCTCTTGTCTAATTATTTTTCTTTTCAACACTGGGTAATTCTTACAACTGGTTTGAGTACTATGGCTGATGTTCGCTGTCTGGCATTCAGAAGCCACAGGCCACTTTTGTGTAGAAGGATTCTCTGCTGGAGGATGATGATGGCATGGTTGATCGAAGGCCACTGACAAGTCATCAATATCTGAACTACCACGTACAGTATCATCACTCTCGGACAGAGCTTGAATTGGTGCAGTGTCCTCCTTACCTTTCAAGTCAGCCCAGGTAACCCTTTTCTTCTTTGGAAAAACTTTTGTGGTCTCACAGTCATCATCAAAGTAACAGTGGAAACGGCCTTCCCTAAACTCCTTCACAAGAGCATTAATTTTTAAGTCATCTTCTCTCATTATCTGAGACCATGTTTTCCCCACAAATGAAGGAGGTACATGAGGTAAGGCTTCAAGAACTGGTTCATCAGAATTTTCTTCTATGATGTCCTTTGCTTTTTTCAGGTTCCTTACAGAATCAACCTCAGGAACAGAGCTTGGCTGGGAATCACAGTTCTTTTCTTTCAGGTCAAAAGATACCTTCCTGCAAGGATGTCTTTTCTTAACAGTTTCTTGAGGCTGATGAGTATCAGACGGAAGAGGGGGAGCACACTGAAAATTCATCTCAAAATCAACCAGTTCACGGCTCACACTTTCTAGATCTCCATGTTTTAACTTTGAAAGTTTTCTTTTATCAGCCCTTCTATGGAGCGCTGACTTAGAAGAGTCACCAAAATCCACTGCAGAAGCACTAGATTGACAGCTCTTACTCTTTAGGCTAGCATTTCTTGGATCTTTCCAAAGGTTGGCTTCTTTGTGAGCTTTCTGCATTCGGTGAGTCTTTCGATGAGAAGTATCTTCCAAATTAAATTTTCCTTTAGAGCCATTATATCCACAGTTATTATCTTCTGAGTCAATATATTTCACCATTTTCTTATCCGGTTCTTGTGACTCATAAGTCATGGACTGATTAGAGGCATCAACATTAAAATTCATTTCAGAACCACAAGACTGACAACTTGGCTCTCCCAGAATAATATAGTCTTTCTTCCGGTTTATTATTTTGAAAGTCTCTTTGCATTGGCTTGTCGTTGAGGGAGAAGAGGCTTTACAACTACATCTGACTTCAGAGCCAAAAGAGTCACAACTCTTATCTTCTATATCCATACATTCTGAATTTATACAGTTGATATCTTTGACAGTCAATTGAGGTGGGTCAGTCACTAACTGAAGGGGAGTATCATCTGAAATTACTTCATAATCACCATCACTGGGCATCACATTCACAAGTACCACCTTTGGAAGCTGTGTTTCTTTGTCTGACCCTTGAAATTGGTTAACTACTATTTGAAAAGGAACATCAGAATCATACATCATTTCTGAATCCATAGGTTCATCAGTCTTTTCTTCCATGACAACATGTTCTTCCTTCTGAAGGTCTGCCTCTTTGTAAGTCACTTGAGGTTGATCAACTTTTGACTGAAGACGAACACAAGAATCACATTTTATTTCAGAACCACAGGTTTTACAGTTCTTCTTTTCTAGATCATTATGATCCTTCTTTTGTAAGTTTATTTCTTCAACAGACACAGAAGATTGATCAGTCACAAACTGAACAGGAATATGAGAAGTACAACTTACATCAAAATCACCTAGTTTATAGCTCTTATCTTCCAGGTAAATATGGTCTTCCTTCCAAAGATTTATTTCTTTGACAGATTTTTGAAGTCCATCAGCTACTGTCTGAAAAGAGTCACTGAAATCAGAACCTTCTTCAGGACTGCAAGAATCACTGCTCTTATCTTCCAGATTGGCATGCTCCCCTTCCAAAACGTGTGGCTGTTTAATCACTGACTGAAGAGGGATATTTGAAACATAAATTATTTCAGAATCACGGGGTGCATAGCTCTTCTCATCCAGACAAACATGTTCCTCCACCAAAAGATTTAATTCTTGATTGACCCCTTGAATGTTACTAGTCATGGACTGAAGGGGTTCATGAGAATCAAAATTTATTTTGGAATCAGTAGGTTTGACAATCTTATTTTTCAAGTCAGCATGCTCTTTCCAAAGTCCAGCCTCTTTAACTACTTCTTCAGGTTGGGCAGCCACTGACTGAAGAACATCAGAATCATACATAATTTCAAAACCCTTAGCTTCATCCCTCCTATCTTCCATGTCAACATCTTCATCCTTCCAAAGGCTTATTTCTTTAACAGTTTCTCTCAGCCGGTCAGCTACTGACTGAAGAGGGTCATCAGAATCAAAACTTACTTCAGAACTACAACATTGATTGTGCTTATCTTCTAGTTCAATCTGCTCCTGCTCTAAAACAGTTATTTGAGGTCGACTGACTACTGACTGAACCAAGAAATCAGAATCCACATTCATTTCAGAACAACTATGTTGGCTGTTCTTAACTTCCAAGTACATATGGTTTTCATTCCCAAGGTTTACATGTTTAATAGCTACTTGGGGTTGGTCAGCCACAGACTGGACAGAAACATCAGAATCATGTATTGATTTAGAAGTATTAGGTTGATTAATCTTATTTTTCAGGCCAATAACCTCTTCCTTCCATTGGTCTATTTTTTTAACTGCTTCCTGAAGTTGTTCAGAATTAAAAGTTATTTTAGAATCACTTGATTTGCTGTTTCTGTCCTTCAGATTAACATACTCTTCCCTCAAAAAAGCTTGTTGAGGTTGGTCAGTCATTGACTGAGGTGGAATATTAGAATCCAGAATTATTTCAGAACCACTACATTTATCATTCTTGTTTTCTATAACACATTGCTTCTTTCTGTTTTTTTTGTTAACAGCTAGTTGAGGTTCAGTTACTGAATAATGAGGGACACCAGAATCTAAACTTGTTTTTGAACCACTGAATTCAGCACTTCTATCTTGGAATTCAGTATACTTTTCTCTTTGAAGCCATGTTTCTTTGACAATTACTTCAGGTTTGTGCATCGCTGACTGAAGAGAGATACCAGAATCCAAACCTGTTTCAAAAACACTCTTATTTTCTAAGTACATATGCTCTTTTTTGTGAAGGTTTATTTCTTTAATGGGATCTTCAGAATGTCCAGTCACTGAATGAAACATGATATTATAATCCAAACTTACTTCAGAATTGGTAGGTTCATTTTCCTTATTTTCTAAGTGCACCTGCTCTTCTTTTTGAGGATATAGCTTTTTAACAGCTACTTCAGGAGAATTAGTCACTGAATGAAGAGGGGCATAGGAGTCCGAATTTATTTCAGAACCACTGGGTTCATCATTCTTCCTTTCTAAGTGAATGTACTCTTCTTTCTGAATTACTTCTTTAACAGCTACTTCAGGGTGATCATTTCCTGAATGAAGAGGAATATCAGAATCAAAAGTTATTTCAGAAACACAAGATTCATTACTTTTACTTTCCAGATCAACAGTTTCTTCCTCATAAACAGCTACTTCAGGCTGGTCAACTACTGAATAAAGAGGAATATCAGAATCAAATGTTATTTCAGAACTATCTGACTCACAGCTCTCATCTTCCAGGTCAAGGTGCCGTTCTTTTCCTTCGGCATCCAGCTGAGACTGCTCAGTAACTGACAGAAGAGGTGGGTCAGAATCAAAAGTCAGTTCAGAGCTGGAGCAATCGTAGCTCTTAACTTCCATGTCAATATTTAACTCTTTAAGATTTACTTCATCCAAAGCTCCTTGAGGCTCATCGTGGGCTGAATGATAAAGAGAAGCTGGAGAATCAGAACTTAGAGAAGTACTGCTAGACTGAACACTCTTATTCTCAAGGTCAACATCCACTTTCTGAAGGTCTATTTCTGTAACTGCTACTTGAGAATGGTCAGCCACTAATTGAGCATCAGCGTGAAAACCCATTTCAGGACCCTGGGATTCATAGTTTATATCCATAAGGTCAGCATTCTTCTCCTTCAGAAGATTCATCTTCACAACAGCCCTCTGGGATTCATCTGCAACTGTCCCAAGTGAGACATCACAACCAAGATGTGCTTTAGCCCTACTGGGTTTACGCTTCTTATGTTTTAGGTGAACTTGTCTACCTTTCAGGTTTCTTCCTTTGACAGTCATTCGCGGATGATCAAGAGAAACATCACAATCAAAACTTGTTTCAGAACAACTCGATCCATAGTTGTCAACCAAGCCAGTATGAGCTTTCTTCCGAAGTTTTGTTTCTGTGACAGCCACTGAGGGCTGGTCAACCACTGACTGAAGTGGGAAAACAGAATCAGCACTTAATTCAGAGCTACTAGAACCATAGTTCTTGTCAACCAAACCAATGTGTGCTTCCTTAGGAAGGTTTACTTCTTTTACAGATTGTTGAGGGTAATCATCACTAGTGGACTGAGGTGAAGCATCAAAATCAAAATTTGTTTCAGAACTACTAGATTCATAGCTTTGGTCAACCAGGCTAATACGCATTGTATTCTGAAGACTTATTTGGGATTGGTTGGTAGCCAACTGAAGAACATTGTCGCAATCAGAACTTACTTCAGAAATAGAAGATTTGTTATTCTTATATGGTACAGCAGCACGTACTTTCTTGGAAAGGTTTATTTCTTTGGCATTCATTTTAGATTGGTCAGTCAGTGAATAAAAAGAGGAACTGCAATCAAAACTCATTTCTGATTCTCTAGATTCATAGTTATCTTCTTGGTCAATTCGCTCTTCTTTCCAAAGATTTAAATCTTGTGCAGACTCTCGGGGCTGATCAGATGCTGACTGAAGAGAGCTACAAGCAAACTTCATGGCAGAACTCACTGAGCACTTCTGATCCAAAAAGGCTTTCTTGTTAAAAACCAAATGCTTTTCTTCTTGGGTACAATCCATATTAGAAAAGAATTTCTCACGATGCTTTGGAATAGTATCTTCAAAGATTCCTTTATTAGAAAACATGTCAGTTTTACTCGGGTTTACTGCTAATTTGGAAGGAGACTTAATTTTTAATAAGCCCTTGGTACCCACACGTTCATGGAATTTCAAGCCAGCTGACAAAGTTTTACCCTGAGATTTTACATCTTTCCGCAAAACCAACTTATCCGAATTTACACGTAAAGATTTCCTATTTGATTCTTTAGGTTTCTGACGCAAAACTGAAGAATTTTCCAGATGAGATGATGGCACAGGATTTCTAGAGGCCCTGTCTGGCTGTTCAAGATAGTTGTCCACTTTGTTTGGGTCACATTTGCTAGCTGAATCCAAATGAACTGCTGGTGGTAAACCAGTTGAATTAGTTGTAACTGGTCTACCATTAGAGCTTTCAGGTAAACAACTAGCAGGAGCATTACAAATCACTGGTGGGCGTACCAAGTTGCTTCCATTATTTGTAGCCTGAGCAATATCTCCTGGATTACATTTTTCCATACTGGCCCCAATTTTATGAACAAACTCCAAAGGCTGCTGCTGTCCCTTCTCCAGTTTTTGAATAACTGATGGTCGAACTGAAACCTCCTTTGTGCCTTCCTGAGATTTATGGGGTCTGGAATGCAACTCTTCAATAGGCTCAGAAGCCTCGGAGGGTCTCTTTTCAGTAGCATCCTCATCCTTAACCTCATTCTCATCCTCTTCCTCTTCTTCAGAAAAATCATCATTCGAATGCACCACTTCAGACGATGACCCAGTATTCAAATTTGTCTCATTTTGTGCTGAACTAAAAAGAAAAGGGGGAAACTCATAAGCACATTCTAACATCTGTTTAAAATATTGAAATAAAGGCATAATAAATGTTATTTTCTTTCTATTCTGGACTATCCTTAAAGGATAAGGAATCCAGGCTGTCACCCCAGGCTGAACACTGCATGGACTACAGGGTGGGAATTACTGCAGAAGGTAGAGGTGGCTCCACCAATTGCTACTTAAGTACAAATGGCTCCTAAACTTGAAAAAATAAACAAACAAACAAATAAATAAATAAAACCATATATTATCTTTCAGTTATCAGATTACCGGAGTAGTAAATAGCAAAAAGTTTGACATATGTTACTTAACTTTGTATGCTTCAGTTTCTTCCTCCAAAAAAATGGAATCTCATTCCCTCATGAGACTTTTGATGACTAAATTAATTGTTACATGTAAAGAGCATTAAAACGAAAAAACAGGTTGGCACATAGTAAGCATTCACAAATGTTAGCTATTATTATTCTAAACATTATTGTTTTGCTGAGGGTGTAAAGACATAGGCACTTTAATACATTGTTCATAGGAGTATAAAACAGTTAACCTCTGTGAAGGTTACTGGTTAACCTCTATGTAGATTTGAAACCTCTACAAAGAGCAATTTGGCAATGTCTATTAAAATTAAGAATGTATATATGCTCTGACCTAGTAATTCCACTTTTGGTTTTCTCATGTGTTTAATGAAGGATGTACAAGAATATTTACTGCTACTTTTGGTGGGAGGGAGGGGTTATAGCAAATGACTAGAATCAACCTGAATACTCAGCAAGTGGGTACTGGTTAATAATTAATGGTACTTAATGAAATACAATATGGTTTTTAATAATAATAAAGCAGTTCTATCCATACAAATAAAAAGCAACTACTATAAACATTTTTAGTGAAAAGCAAGAATAGGCAGAATGCTACCACTGATGTGAAACAGAAGGGAAGAAAAACAATGTATTTAGAGTATCTGGAGAAGGGCACATACAACTGTAGAAGTGTAGAGGTAACACCACTTGTTGCCTCTAGGGTAGTGATTATAGGATGGGAGCAATTTAAGACTTACTTTTGAATGTGCCCTATGAATGATGTCTATGTCTATGATTTCCCATTCAAAAATTTAAATTCCATTATTTTTAAAAAGACTCAAATCTTTCATTATAAAATCAGTCTTTGAATCTCTTCCACCGGTATCAAGACAACATGCTTAACCAAAGCATTTTAGAGACTGCTCTTTCACGTATATAACCAGCTGACCTAATGATATTGCCATGGCCTTAATCCTTAAAGTCAGGCAAACATTCATTCACGTAACAACCATCTACTAAGGACTAAGGACTTATTACTACATTTCAGGCACTGTGCTAGGTACTAAGGCAAATTCAAAAAAAGATAAGCTGCCTCTTAACACCATTAAGTAGCTGCAGAAGACAGACACATTAAAAAAAATAACAATTCAAAGTGATAAGTATCATCACATCTAGACTTGCTTAAGGAAAAAAAAAGATTTAACCGTCACAGCCAAGAGGGGCCTAAGAGACATTACAAGTTAATGCAATGTGGTATCCTGGATGGGATTCTGACACAGAAAAAAAGTACAACTAAGAAAATCTTCGTTTAAGAAAACTAAGTTTAAGTAGAAACTAAGAAGTCTAAATAAACCATGGACTTTACTAATAGCAGTTCCTTACTCATAACAAATATACCCTGTTAATGTTAATAATAAAAAAACTGGGTGAGACGGTATTACAGGTGCACTCTGCACTATTTCCTCAATGTTTCCATTAATCTAAAACTTTGTTTATAAAGTAGCCTATAAAAATTAAAAATAGAATAATACCTTAAAATATATTGAATTGTTCCAATTTGAGATGTCATTTGCCATATGCAATTTCCTTTTAGCATAAGTATTGCTGTTACTATCTTTCCCATATAAATTTATTACCTGACGACTAATTTTAAATTTGGAAAATAAAAAAGTTATCCTGCATCAAAAGTATTGTGGTGTAGCAAAAAAAAAAAAAAAATCCCAATTTTTCATACTTCTGAACAATGACATTGCAGCCAACCCACTTTACTCTAGTTTTCCAGAACCCTAGACAATACTCATTCATCTTAAGGACTATCACAACATTCTCAAAATAAAACCGATTTTGCAACATTAAGAAAAGAAAGAAAAGGGAGAAAAGAAAAGAAGGTAGAATCATAAAATCATACAGTTGGCAAAATCCCAAGAAAATCATGAACTACCATCTGGATGCTTTGATCTGCATCTATATCTGTGTGTGTACCTGTTTAACAATTAAATCATAATCCACATGTAACTTATCATTTGTAACTATACAATAACAAAAAAGCTCTCTAAAAATCTAACCACTAAGGCTTAAAACCCACTCTTTTGGCCAGGTGTGGTGGTTCATGCCTGTAATCCCACCACTTTGGAAAACTCAATTGGGAGCATCACTTGAAGCCAGGAGTTTGAGGCCAGCATGGACAACATAATGAGATCCTGTTACTACAAAAAATTTTAAAAATAAATTAGGTGACCAGGCGTAGTGGTTCACGCCTGTAATCCCAACACTTTGGGAGGCTGAGACAGGCAGATCACAAGGTCAGACATTCTAGACCAAAATGGCTAACACGGTGAAACCCCACCTCTACTAAAACATTAGCCAGGTAGGGTGGCACACACCTGTAGACCCAGCAGCACTCCAGCCTGGATGACAAAGCAAGACTCTGTCTAAATAAAATAAAATAAGCCAAGCATAGTGGTACATATCTATATTCCCAGATATTTGAGAGAGTAAAGAAGGAGGGTCACTTGAGCCCAGGAGTTTGAGACTACATGAGCTATAATCACACCACTGCACTCCAGCCTGGGCAACACAGTGAGACCCACAAACAAACAAAAAACAGCTGAACTCTTGAGCTAAAAAGAAAACATATTTAAAAGAATAGAATCTATGAAATTTGGCCAAAATAAAAATGTCATACTTTTAAATACTTCCATTAAGAAAAGAATTCATAAACACCAGGGCCACACAATTTAAGATGAAAAAATAACAACAAAATTGCTCACATAAGAAGGTAGATGAAATATATTACGAAAAGGAAAAAATTAAGATGAAACAAAAATGAAGCAAGAGCTGATTTTCAGGAAAGCTAAAACAATAGAAAAACAATGTCTAGACAAGGGGGAAGAGAAAGAATTTTTTAAAAAATCATAAATCCTATAATTTAGAAAGCTTATACGTATATAATAAAATACTAGTGGCATGGGATTTTTAAAAAAGGAAACAAAACGGTATTCAAAACGAGAAATATGTACACTTATATACACAAATACGAGAACTTAGGTTATGACACAGGTGGTGACATTTTATAGCAGCAGCATAATTAGAGATACAAGAAGTACTTGCCAGGCACAGTGGCTCACACCTGTAATCCCAGCAACCTTGGGAGGCCGAGGTGGGTGGATCACCTGAGGTCAGGAGTTCAAAACCAGCCTTACTAACATGGTGAAACCCCACCTCTACTGAAAATACAAAATTAGCTGGGTGTGGTGGTGCATGCCTGTAATCCCAGCTACTTGGGAGGCTGAGGCAGGAGAATTGCTTGAACCCGGGAGACAGAAGTTACAGTGAGCCTAGATCTTGCCATTGCACTCCAGCCTGGGCAAAAAGAGTGAAACTCCGTCTCAAAAAAAAAGAAGTCCTGCCTCATACCACATATTAAAACAAACTCCAAGATGATTACACATATTTCAAAGAAAAAACAAAGGCATAAAGAAAAAGGTATAAAAGGAGCCATAAACAGAAATTCTCCTTACATCTGATTAAATAAAAAATTTTCATTTCTGTATGATAAAGAATAACATAAACAGTTAAAAGACAAACAATAGGTTCTGAAACAAAATCTCTAACACATTTAAAATGCAAAGGACTATTATTGATACTCAGATATTGCTAACAAATCCAAAATATACAAATAACAATAGAAAAACGGGCAAAGTATATTAACAAACATATCATAGAATAAAATACGGCCAATGAATATACAAAAAAGTTCTACCTGAAAATAGATTATATGGGATTATCAGTATGCATATCTACACGTTTTTGGTCTATTACGATGGGAGGGAAAAAAGAAGCTGATAATCCCAGTGTTAGCAAAAACTCCCTGAATCCTGCTCAGAGGGAGCCCATTTTAAAAATACAAAAACCAAAAAACTAAGAAATTACACTGATATCATACGAACAGCTAATCTACAGACCTTGTTTAAATTTTGCCAGTTGTCTTAACTCACGTCCTTTTCTTGGACCAGGAGCCAATCCAGAATCACACGCTGCATTTTGTTGTCAATATCTTCTTCGTTTTCCTACACCTTAAATAGTTCCTCAGTTTTTCTTTGTTTTTAAGCCTTGATGCTTTATTTATAAAGATCTGGCCAGTTAATTTATGGGATAGCCTTCAATTTGTGTCTGCCTGATATTTTCTTATGATTAAATTTCAGTCATACATTTTGGGCACGAATATCTTAGAATTGATGTTGTGCCCTTCTTAGTGTATGGAATCAGGAGACACATAATGTTGCCATATCATTTGGGTGATGTTAGCTTGAACCACTTGATTAAGGTACCGGCTGCCCAGTTACTCCACTGTGAAGTTACTGTTTTTCCTGTTGTAATTAATAAGGATCATATGGGGAAGGACTTTGAGACTATGTAACTATCCTCTTTCTTATCTTACTTTTACCCACTTATTTCATGCAACCATTAATGATCCTTTAATCAAAATTGTACCAAGAGGAAGAGCTTTTTTTTCTTTCTTTGAGACAGAGTCTCACTCTGTCACCAGGCGCCAGGCTGGAATGCAGTGGTGCAATCTCGGCTCACTGCAACTTCCGCCTCCCAGGTTCAGGTAATTCTCCTTCCTTAGCCTCCCGAATAGCTGGGACTACAGGTGCACGCCACCATACCCAGCTAATTT